CGGAACTCCTCCACGATGGCATTCAGCTGGAACCTCGCACGCAAGGGCAGCACGACATTAATCACACTGCGATTTGCAGATCTACTCCTACGACACAGTCCCAGAATTTTCCCGCCCGAGGCCCGAACCTCCACGGATCCGGATGCTGCATGCTCTCCCACATGTGGCTGATGGAGACAAGGTGGACTCGGACCCGTCTGGGCACCGGGTGCCGGAGCATCACGGACATGTGGGCGGTACCGGGGTCAATCTTCACTTCTTGGAGCTCCCTGCTCTCTACGAGCGCCGGCGCCCCAGAGCTCGTCCTCGCCTTTTCCGCCTCTTGACGGCGTGGCAACGGCCTCCCGGACGCAGAGAGCTCGACCAGGTACTCGAGGCGCACCAGGCGGATGCCGGCATCTTCGAGGAAGCCGAGTAAAGCTTCCGGCTCTGACAAGTCGTAGCTCGTCTCCTCCGCTGCGGATGCTGAAGCCATGGCGCTTGCGGCGGATCCGAGAAACTGTCGCTGGCAATGAACAGAAACAGCTCTGTGTGGCGAACCTGCATCATGCTGCATACGTCAGGCTTTAAGGCTCAATGCTGGGACCTCCAGACTCGGAGGCTTAGCTCGAACCGAAGCTTCCAAAACCCTCAGCCGCTGCAGAAAATCAAACATGACACAGCTGGCTCCCGGAGGCTGGGAATGCCTTGGACATGACAAAAAGAAGAAGAAGCATTAGACATAGTAGAGAAATTTATGAAAGCGATTGTAATAAGGTGGCCTGTGGATGGCAGCGCCCATGGGCCGCAGCGACATTGAAAATCCTGAGTGTACGTCGGGAGAACTGGCGCTTACAGGGTTTAGGCTCTTTGGGCATGCAGGCTCTCAGTTTCTGCTTACCGCTCCCGGCCTCTTTGAGTCTGGCGGCTTGGGGCACATCGGGGGCGCGGGAGAGATGGGAGACCTGGAGTCCAAGAAGGCCTGTGAAAATCCGGCTTGCCGAATATCTGACGGTGTGTTTTTTAAGGGTTTCGGGCTAGGAAGTTTGAGGGAGACGGGTTTAGATGCTTTAGTACCTTCAAACTTTGCCCTAAAAACCCGAAACCATAGTCCGAAAGCCGTATTGAGGGGTTGATTGTCAGATCTTCGGCCTTGACCCGTTGAGGCTGCGGGCTTTCCGCGAATCCTGAGCCTAGACTCTCAACCCGAAAACTCTGACCCCAAGTCCTGAAATCTAAGTCCTATAGCCCCCATACACGCGAAAAAACGAAAATCACAAGTCCCAAAATGCTACGAAACCCTCAAAATCCTCCCATGTTTGATGTCCGAGGCTCCCATGGTCAAAACAGCGGCGTTGGAACAGGATTCCATACAGTCCTGTGAATGGGACAGGAGGTTTTCCGGCTGCAGAGCTTAAGAGGCTTATGGGCCTTTGGGGTTCGATTTGCCGAAGTCCTCAGCCCCAGAATTCATCTTTTTCGGCGGGGAGGGGGTGGTTGAAACGGGAGAGGGTGCTGCGAGATCTTTGGGAACTTTGGGAAGTTCCAGAGGGAATTGCTATTAGAAGCCCCGCGAGGGAAAGATCCATGGTTGTGGAGTTTTGGATGTACGGCTTGGCGGCCTCCCTGTGTAGATGGAGACTTTGCCGCTTTTGGTGCGAACATGAGCTTCGGGTGCTCCTTGCTTGAGGGCTTTTGGAGTCTCAGGTCGAGCGGACCTTTGGGACGGTTGCAGTTTGGATGGGCACAGCTTGTAGCACGCGAGGTTGGGGACACTTTGGAAACAAGGGTGTGAAACTTTCAGGTCATCACTATCGACAACCCCCAGTCTGTGCCATACATGCGACACCCTGAAACCCATCAGCTCCCGACGAACCCCTCATCCCGTAAACGCAAAACCCCAAGACAGCCGAGACGGACAGCCCAAGGCGCAGGTTCGGAACGGCACCAGGAGCCCACAAAGCCTTCAAAGGGCGTGAGTCCTCCCAGTTTTCAGGGTTTGGGGGGCCGTGTTCCAGGTTCAAGGGTTAAGGTTCAGGGCTTAGGGGTTTGGGTTTAGAGTATTTGGGAGCTGTAACTTGGGCCATTACAGGCTTTTGCGGGGTTTAGGGCCTTTGCAGGTTTAGGGTTTAAGGTGTCTCTGGATGTTCATCGCAACCGCTGCAAAGCGTCTCTCGGATCTACGGCAGAGGGATCTAGCCGCCCACCCACCCCCCCGCGCACTTGAAGCACGCGATGCCGGGCCGGTGGTACTGGTAGCTGCCTGCCCCAATCCTCGGGACTGAAGCTTTAGGACTTGGGAAAGCCTTCCCAGGGGCGATCTGCCCTGAAACCCACGCAGTTGCAGCAGAGCAGTAAAACGCAGTCCTGCACCGTAAACCACGAGGGAGGTGCATGAAACCTTGAGTTTGGGCAGCTGCTAGCCCTGCCACGATCTCGCGAACTTTCGAATGTACCGGAATGATCTAAAAAGCCCTACTTTCCTGCAAGCTGTACAGCTCTGTTTTTGGAGTCGTCGGCCCTAACCCTACAGAAACATGCTACATGGCTACATGTCACAATGTTGTACTTGCCTATGGTAGAGCCTCGCACCATCTATGGTAGAGCCTCGCACCATTCAGCTTTGGCTTCATTGAGCTGAGCCTCATGGATCCAGGTATATCGGCGCTGATGGACAGCAGCTGGAGCAGCAGCGGATGGTAGATCTGATCGTCATCCCACCATGAGAACGCCTAGGCTCAACGGCTTGAGTTGAGGGAGTTGAGGGCTTTGAGGGGTTATTGAAAGATCTGAGCCCTGAAATGCAAGCCCAAGCCTCAAGACAGTTGGGCACATTGCTACTCATGCTGCTTGCTGGGATTTCAACACCTCATACTTAAATGTGGTCCGACCTGCGGTAGCACAAGAGACATCTACGGACCTTTTGGTTATGTCTGCCGCTGCTGTTAACTTTCCTGTTCAGCAAGTTCCGAAGACACCAGGACTAAGCCTCAACAGCTCCATGCTTGCCAAGGCTTGGAAAGTTTCAATGCCACGCCCGGCTATGTAAGGCCCGGCAGAGGTGTGGAGGTTGTAGACGTTTATTTGCTTTGTGGCTGTCGGTTTAAGGCTTGGGGCTCTAGCAAAACAGAGTTTTCAGCCTGCCCAAGGTGCGGGTGTCTGCGGAAGCCTTGCTCGCGGCGCAGCACGTGCACGATGGGATACGGAAACTCGTACCACCAGGGATGGACCTTCAAATCTTCCAGGTTCTGAGCGGGTTTCCTCCTGCAACTTGAGGCTTTTTGATACGGAGTTTCGGGCTTAAGGGGGTCCAAAGAGGGTCCGAAGGGGGACTTCGGAGCCCGAGCCGAGAGGAACCTCAGAGAGCCGAGGAAGGAAGCCTCGACCTGCAGAGCCAGCAGGGTTTAGGGTTTAGGGTTTAGGGTTTAGGGTTTAGGGTTTAGGGTTTAGAAGTTATAAACATTTATGGTTTCCCTACTTATAACCCCCACTTATCACGACCCATGAACCTCCAAGCCTCAACCCCAGACATGGAACCCTCCCAGACAACTCTGAAACTCGAAAGCAGGCGCCAGGGTTTGGAGCTTTTGCCTCCTCCCCTTGAGGTCGCCTCAAACCCCAACCTCCCCAAGTCAGCTTCAAAGGCCGGTGGTGTAGGGCTCATGAATCAGGATGGGGTTTTGGGCCGTGGAGATCAGGCTGCTATGTTGAAAGGGCCGGACTTACAACAGCGAGTGAATCGCAATGCAATGAGATGCCAAGATCTTCATGCCTCCACCTTGTGCTTACTCCTAGGCTCTGTCGTCCACCCGCATATTAGTTTGGTGGCTTTCAGGGCTTCGGAAGGGGAATCGGAAGCTCACCCCTATATATAGAGGCTTTAATAGTTTCGACATGGCTTTGGGGCATGCAAGGGCTGCCAAGATTCTGTTATTGAATAGTCTGATCCTTGATGTAGACCCTGAATAGTAAGGCCAGCAGGCGGTGCTGTGCGGATCCTGGCGATCGAAGTGGTAGCAGTGGAACCCAGTCTAGTCCTGGACTCTGGGTGCATCTCATGGGGAGAGAAGGACAGGGGCCGGTGGCGATATAAGACTATCAGTACGAAGAAAACCAAACAAATGGGGTACCACTACGTATTGCGAGCTCTGCAGAAGGGCTCTGAGCTGCGCATCCATTGCTTCATCTTCAGTTTGTTGCATTCGTGGAATTTGGATCAGCCCTCCTACTGGCGAGTCCTAAGGTTGCCCGACTATGAACTCAAAACCCTTGCAGAACCCTAGAAAAAATCCTTCCAGAAACATCACCAAAAAAATCGATAATATGCAACCCCCCCCTTAAGACAACCCTCACAGAACCATTACGCAAAATGCTAAACACCTTTTACAACCCTTCATAAAACCTGTATGGAAAGACCCTCATCAAAACCATTACGGGAAAACACCTTCTGAAAACCGTGTAGAGCCCCGCACAGCTCTTATAAGGACATGGCGCAAACGATAAGAACAACTGAACCCAAACCTTAAATCCGAGCACCCACCTAAACCCTCAACCCTAATCCGCAAACTCTCAACCGGAGACCCTAAGTCACCCAAAAACTCATTCGGATACGCGGGGCTCCTCTCGGAGCTCCTGAGCGCCCCGGCGCCGGGAGGCCAAGTCTGCCACGGTCTTCGCACCCAGCGTCTCCCTGGGGAGCTCTGCAGCGCTTCGGGCTTGCCGTTGTGGGATAAGGGTTGGCTAAGGGTTTGCCTGCTTGGCTTTTTCGGGCTGTATAAGGAGCTTTGAAAGGCTTCATATTGGTGAGTCTTGTTGACTTTTCACCCTCATAACGACCTACAAAGCCCCAAACCCAAACATGCACAGAGCTCGTCACTGGTTTGGTCTGGGTTTGCCCGGAGAAGTAACTTTAGGTGACAGGGTTGAAATGGTAGGCTTCGGGCGGTTCAATGGGATTGGCTTCAGGCTGGTTTTGGGCTCAGCTTTGTAAGCTTTTGGGCTTTGGGTGTTAGGGTCTAGGGGGAACGGCTAAGGTTTCGCTTCGAGGTTTGGGGTTTTAGATTTAGGGCTCAGGTTTAGGGCTTTAGGGTCTAAGTCGGGTCAAGTTGAAGGTGAAAGTTTAAGGTTGTAGTGGTTGGGGTTGAGTGCTTCTTTCTGACAGGCATGCCTGGCCTTTCCACGGCCGAGGGTGGACCAGTTGCGACCATGGCGCAGGAACTCGCGTGGGACGCCTTTCCGAGCCAAGTGAGACACCCACCAGACCTTGTCCTCGAGCTCCCGAACAGAGTGGTCGGGGGTTTTTCAGGGTCAAGGTTCAAGGCTTGGGGTTGGGGTTACAAGATCAGGATTTGGAAAAAGGGCTTGCATGCAACTAAAGGTGTCAACGAGGTTGCCATACAGCGGCCCTTACGGAATGTGCCTTGCTTCGGCCACTGTGATGAAGGGAACCCTAGTTCGCACATCCGGCGTCCTGCATCCCCTTGCACCAACCTGAAGTACCCAAAGCCTCAACAGCCTGATGGCACCATGGAACGGACAGGTAGTACACGCTAATCATTGTACAGAGGATTATGATGGTCGCTAGTCTGAGATCGTGGGCTTTGTTGCCCACCATGCAGCCCCTGCAAAATGCCGAGCATCCTCGATCATGCATGCTGCGAGGACGAAGTCGGCAGGAGGGCCTCCCGCAAGGCTTTGGGCTTAGCTGGAGGTACA